GAAGTATTGAATTACTTGAAAGCGATGGATGGTAGTTTTCCGAATGCATGGGTTTCTTACAGAATACTACTGACTATACCAGTTACAGTAGCCTCTGCGGAAAGAAGTTTCTCAAAGTTGAAATTGATTTAAGTCTTACCTCCGATCAACAATGAGTCAAGAAAGATTAAATGGGTTGGCTATGTTATCTATTGAAAAAGATTTGGCAGAAAAAAATGATTTCACAAGTTTAATTAGTACTTTGCAGCTCAGAAAGCAAGAAGAGTGATTTTTCAATGATCATTAGTGTACTTATAGATTGATAGTTTAAGTTGTCGGAGCTATATATTATTTGAATATGAAATATTTGTCTTATGTTTTTTATGCTTATTGTTTTATTCTATGTCCATTAGTCTCTTAAAAACAGGTAGTGAATTTATTTTTATGCCATCGTTGATAAAATGCATTATATCGACGAGTTTAAACTTTTTTTTTTTTAATTTTTTTTTGATTTTTTGTAGTTTTTTTTTAACTGAGTTTATTTTGGAAGAATAGATAGGGGGGCCCCGTTTTGAGTTGTTCTTCTAATCTCGCCTAGGGCCCCCGAATTCTTAGGAACGTATTTGGTCTCTCATGTTTAAAAAGAACAACATTTTTAGCTATTCCGTCAATTTTTCGTTAGTACTAACGGAGTGAAGTATGTTTCCATCATTTTCTTAACTGACGAAATAATGATAAATCGACGTAAATGACCAAAAATGTTAAATTATTGAAATATGAGCAACCAAATGTGTTTTTTATGAACATGTGAGACCAAATGTGAAATAAGTACAAACTTAGGGATCAAAACCGTATTTCCCAATTTATTTCAGTTATAGGTGTCAAAGAAATAAAATACGGGAAAATTATAATTTTCAACCCTCAAGTTTGCACTAATTTTACAACTAACCCCCCATGTTCACAAAAAAAAACATTTTTGGTCATTTTTGTCAATTTACCGTTACCCCGTCAGCTAAAGCATTGATGGTACACGCTTGTATCCGTTAGTACCAACGGAAAATTGACGGAAATGACTAAAAATATTGAATTTTAGAAACATGAGGGGCTAAATATATTTTTTTGTGAACATGGGGACTAAATGTGAAATTGGTGCAAATTGAGAAACCAAAACAGTATTGTTCACAATAAATACATATTTAAGTCATTATTTTGCACGTAGTTTGAAGTTTTGAACACTGATGTTTAAGTCATTGAATACTTAATTGGAGATGTAAAAATGTTCACAATAAAAACAGTATTGTTCACAATAAATACATATTTAAATCATATGTTTGATACTATGATATTTGCACCAAATTAAAATATATATATATGTTCAAGTAGTACTCTGAGTATATCGTTGATTTGATTATGTATGACTCTGTGCTGTTTAATTTTATTTTTTTTCTCCAAAGGTTAGAATTTTATTGTATTTCCTGAATAAAAAAAGGCAAAAATATATGTAATGAGTAAGATTTCATGGCTAGCTAAGAAGTCTGGCACTGCATTTTATTCTGTATAATTTACATGCATGATGTATTAATTGTCCAGTTTGGACGAACATGAATTTTACATTCTTTCTCTGCGAACCATCACTAATAGAAAAATGGCTTTTTACTACGACCATTAACAATAGCAAAATGTATTAAATTCGTAGTAAAAAGGCTTTGCTACGCATTTGCTATAAAAACTTTGCTATAGTAAATGGCCGTACCAAATATTTTTTTGCTACTGTAACTCTTAGTATTTACTACGGCTTCAAAATTGTCTCGATGTTAAAAGTGCCATTTGCTACGGCTTATTATCGTAGCAAAAAAATTCGTAGTAAAAAGCAATTTTTTTACTAGTGCATCTTTACAGAAAAAGTTTAGACCATCAAATAATAGTGTTATTTCTATAGGCTCAAGTTCATATACTAGTGGGCGTCTTTACTATATGCTCAAGTTCGGCTCGTGTATTTTAGTCGGGCTTCGAATTTATATTGGGTTTACAGCGAACAATTACATACTTTACAACTTTACAGTCAAACATTTACCAAAAAAAAAAAAAAAAGAAAACCTCACAACCGAAGAGGAAATCTACAATATTTATAAAGAGTAAAAGAAGATAAAAACTATAGTGACATTGTAAAATGAAAACCATAATTTATTCCTTCGGACAAATGAAGTTCAACATTGTAAATGTTTAATCCTTAAATAATTAATATAACAAAAAATGAATCAGGGTCCAAAATAAAGAAAAATTAAACAAACAGAAACAATTCTACATGTACTCCCAACTCTTTTCTACATGTTTAGCCTAGAATAATAAATATATTATTTATTTAATTATCGGTTGAGCTACAATAAGCTCAAACTTGGATCATAAATGAACCGACCGGACCAATTAATAAAATTGTTCAAACTCGATCAGCTCATACGCCTCCAATAAAATCAAATCAGACAATCAGGATTCGGGTATGCACGGCTCAATTGTCAGTCCTACATATTACACCATGTCGACTGAATAGCTGAAAAATCGACTCAAAACAAAATAATCATAACCTATTAAGTATTAACCGTTAAAAATATTAAAAAAAAAAAAAAAAAAAAAAAGAAAAAGAAAAGGAAAAGATCTATTGAGTACTGACGCTTGAAAGACTTGTGACATGTAATAGAGTCCCACTCTGCTTGACTTTAACGACAGAAGAACGCGTTTTCTCCTTCCTTCACTTCTCTCTTTCCACACAATTTCAGCTAAACTACATTTTAAACATAATAATCAAATCTCACAAAATTCATATTATATAGTTAATTCTATAATGTGAATTTGTGATAGCTAGAGAGAGAGAGTTTAGAGAGAGAGAGAAAGAGATAAGAGAGATGTACTCGTCTAGAGATAATTGGGAGAGGTTAGTGTCGGCGGTTGTTCGGAAACAGCAGATATGGGAACTATTCCACTCTCACTCCAGGACCCCTAGCATCAGCACCATTGCTTCATCAGAGGATGACGATGATCATTTCAACCAACAACTTCTCGAGTATTTTATTATTATTAATTTATTTTTGAGATAATTACAGTTTTTATCGCTCAAGTTCGCATTGGTTTCACATTTGGTCGCTCATGTTCACAAAAAACACATTTAGTCCATTATATTTCAATAATTTAACATTTTTTGTCATTTCCGTCACATTTGGCAGACAGTTGATTCCATTAGTACTAACAGAAAAAATGACGGAAATAATTAAAAGTATTGAGTTTTGGAAACACGAGGGAACAATTGTGTTTTTTTGTGAATATAAGAACCAAATATGAAATGGTGCAAACTTGAGAGACGAATATTGCAATTTACCCAATTTTTTTTTTCTGAATTGTGAATTATAGATCTTTGATTGTATTAAATATTGAACATTATTTTTTCAATATTTTCCAGTAGTAACAAATGGGCAGCAGCTACATCTATAGCTCCACCAGCTCCGCCGCCAATTAATGACCCGCCATCTGTCTCTCGGGGTTCGTAATTTATCTACTATTTTCATGAATTAAAATTTAATTTTTTCATATTTGCTTAGCATTATAATTGCTGATGAGATGGGCGCTTGCATGCAGGAACTCGAACATTTTCTCTAAACGAATTGAAGATTGCGACAAATGGCTTCTCAGTTAGAAACATCCTTTTTAGAGATGGATTCGCGAAATGGTACAAAGGTAGGTTAGAAAATGGCTCTGTAGTGGCAATTAAAAGATATACACAGTTACAAGACATCTCGCATTATTTCAAAACCGAAGTTGAAACGATGAGCATTGTTAATGCGCATCCAAATTTACTTCGATTAATTGGCGTTTGCGTTACCCAACAAGAGAACCTGCTCGTTTATCCCTACATGGCCAACGGAAGTGTCGCATCATGCTTAAGAGGTAATTTTCTCGAGCCGTTAATGTTTGAGATAAAAAACCAAATGAAGTGAAAAAAAATAATAATATTCACCATCCATATTTAGAGTCAACTACATTTTATATGGGGAGATGGCAGCACATGAAAAAGACACTTAATTAAAAAGATAGACATCCTACTTTTTTGTCTTACAAATATATCCATCTCATTCAAACTTATTTGTTAATAAGGAAAATTCTTTCATATATTCCAAAATTAACCCAACTAACCAATTTTGATCCTTATTCCACTTTTGACCACCGCCGCCTGTGACTTTTTTTCTTTGGATCTTTTTCACGACAGATGAGCGCCGTTGACCGCCGGTCTCCGGCATTGACTTTCTTTCTAAATATTTTTTAGAAAAACTATTTTTCAGTAATAATATTACTGTCTTGGCTTGCAATATTAATGTCTCAGACAGTAATATTGCAGTCAAAGAGAGTAATGTTATTGTCCTAACCGTAATATTACTGTCCTAGATGGTAATTTTATTGTTAACAAAATAGTTTAGGTAGAAAAAAAAATTAAAAGGACAAAAAAAGTGAATGCCGGAGACCGGCGATCAAAGGCGGCTGACCGGTCGGGAAAAATATTTCAAAAAAAAAAAATCAATGCCGGAGACCTGTGGTCTACGTCGGAATCTGGCCGAAAAAAAAAATACTCATAAAAAAATTATTTTCTCAAAAAAAAAACAATTCAAAAAATTATGAAATTTGGGGTTATGTGATATTTTTGTTCAAATCCGGAGTCAATGTGCAATGTTGGTGAAGTTAGAGTATAATTGATGAAATTGATGAAAATTATATTATGAGAGTTATTTTAGACAAAGGACATGGGAATTGATTTATTTGCGAAAATGTTTTTTGCCTGGACCTATGTGCATTTAAGTCCCTTGTCATGGGCCTATTTGCCATTTGCCCATTTTATATTCTGTAGAAATATTACGATTAAACCCCTAATGCAATACGTAAAATTGGAACTCATGACCTTTTTATTTGGCCTGACTCTCATATCATGTTGAATGACCACATTTACCAAAAGCTTAAACTATTAGTGAAATGTATCATTAAATATTAATCTTTCGAGTAGTGTTATTATAGATCGACCGGGATCACAACCTCCACTTAAATGGGCAGTAAGAAAACGTATAGCAATGGGGGCTGCTAGGGGTCTGGCCTATTTGCACGATGAATGTGAGAGGAAAATCATTCATCGTGATGTCAAAGCTGCAAATATATATCTGAATAAGGGCTTCGATGCAATTATTTGTAACTTTGCGTTTGCGATACACATGGACCACATTGTACGAGGAACAATTGGTAATATAGCCCCCGAGTATCTCTCCAAGGGTACTCTTCCGGAGAAAACTGATGTTTATGGTTATGGTATGTTTCTTCTTGAGCTCATCACAGGCCAAAGAGTTTTTGATCTTGCTAGGCTTGCTAATGATAAAGATCTAATGCTACTTGATTGGGTGAGAAGCTATATTTGTACATATAACTATTACGGTAAATAGAACTTAACCCCCCGTGGTCACAAGATTTTGCAGTTGACTCCTTGTGCTCGTAATATCAACAGATAACCCCTTGTGGTTGATAGAGGTAGAGTCCGTTGGTTTTTCCGTCAAACTGATCCGTGCGTGTCAAACTTCAAGGGGGTCATCTGCAAAAATTTAAAGCACAATGGGATCATCTGTAAAATATAGTCTATTGACATTTGATATCCCGCAGTTAATTTTGACGGAAAAACTAACGGAACTATCCTATCAACCACAAGGGAGTTATGTACTGATATTACGAGTACAAGGGGGTCATCTGCAAAAACTTGTAACCAAAAGGGGGTCAAGTGCTATTAACCTTAATTAGTAATTGCCTTGTAAATTCCATATAACCAAGAGCTTCTCTCCAATATTAATATGATTAGGTAAAGACAAACTTAAAGGAGAAGAAATGGGAGAGAATTGTTGATTCTGATATTAAAGGTTACTATTACATTGAAGAAGAGGTGAAGCACTTGATTCAAATAGCTCTACTCTGCACACAAGACAACCCGGAGAAACGACCCAATATGTCGGAAATTGTGAGGATAATGCTACCGCTTGGAGATGGCTTATTAGCAACGCAAAGGTGGGACGAGTTATGTAATGATGAAATAACCAACAGATCCGATGAACAATGGGATAGCCCAAGGCAATTTGAACAACTATCCAGCCCAAGATGATTGCTACGGACTGCGGTACGTGTATATATGTTTATGGGCAAATTGCACGTCACTCCCTATAAATTTCTAACTTTTGCACTTTACCCCCTCAGAATTTTAAAAAGTGAATGTGCCCCTTCAAAATGTTATTTTTGTTGCTCATTGCCCTGATAGCGAAATTCGGATGGATTATTCAACGGAATTGAGTGTTTTTGTTGCACTTTGCCCCTTTAAATCTTATTTTTTTGCTGCATGTTGCCCCCTAAAAACATTATTTCTCTACCCCATTGCACATTTAAAATGTTATTTTTGTTGCACGATGCCCACCAAAAAATATGTTTTTGGGGCAAAGAGCAATCGGAACAATATTTCGAGGGGGTTATCTTCTTTTTTTATTTGATTTTTTTAGGAGGGAAAGTGCGAAAATGCAAAATATATAAGGGGTGAAATGCATTTTGTCATATATATATATATATATATATATATATATATATATATATATATATATATATATATATATATATATATATATATCCATTCCTATGCCCCATTGCAAAAACATTTCCCTAATTGCAAGTGTCAATCTTTTTTATTTTAGGCCAAATTTGCCCCTCCGTCCATTTTCTGGACGTAAATTGATGACATCATCGAAAAATTTAGTTAAATCTCTATTTTACCCTTTTGACCGAAGTTAACTATACCGATCTTTTCTTTTTTTTTTTTTTTGAACAAAAGTGAAACTATTTTATTAGGCAAATGATGCCAAGTGAGCTGGAAGATGATCATCTTCGTAATAATCATCTACATTAAGATGGGCTACTGTATGCGCAATGCAATTCCCATTTCGTTTGACAAAAGAAAATATACAAGATTCAAAATAATTAACAAGATACGGCATTCTTCAATCAAAGCGCCAAAGGACGTCAAATTGCTCTCTAAACTTTTAAGTGCATTAATAACTTGCAAACAATCCCCTTCAACGATAATTTTTTTCCATTCTTTTTCTCGAGCTATTATAAGAGCATGTAGCGCCGCTCTTGCTTCGCCATCGACAGGTCTCGGTCGGCCTAGAAATTTCCGTACGTTCCACCACACACACTCCCCAATTGAGTTTCGAGCCACCGCCGCCACTTTATAAAACTTTTTTCCGGTCGGAAACGCCACATCAAAATTTACTTTAATTGTACCCTCGTTAGGAGGACACCAAATTGCATTTCCCTCTCTTGCTGAGTTTTGCAAAATTATGGGCCTCTCTATGTGATATTCTGTCAAATAATTCTTCCCCCAAGAGACCAGGTCCGAAACCACCGTGATAGGCGACTCATGCACTTCTTGGTTTCTAATATGCCATGCTTTCCAGGTGATGACAATTGCAAGGTTCATATCTTCCTTGTTCAATGTCAGACGAAGGTGTTCAAACCACAGCCAAAAGTTATTGTATTTTCCAACCTTATCGAGTTTATTGAAAGGAGGTGTTGCCCATACTTTATTCATCCCGCCGCAGTGACCAATAACTATACCGATCTTTTCGAGGAACTGAAAAATGCCCTTATAGTTTATTTCAGTTAGAGACACCTCAATTATACTGTCAATCAAATTCTATGCTTATCAACAAACGAAGGCAAAACCGTTGGGCAAAATGACTTACAATTTGAAGGATTAACACTTTCGAATAAACCAACAAAGAGAAAGAAAGACGAAGCAGAATCTCGAAATCAACTGCATACATGATTTTGCACGTCGGTCGTGCAATGTCTAAGTCATTCAATACATACCCGAATTCGATAATTTTTTTGTTACTTTCTACTAAGGTTAGAATTTTATTTTATTTTCTGAATAAGAAAATGCAAAAAATATATCTAATGAGTTTGATTATATTGTAAGATTTCATGGCTAGCTAAGAAATCTGCCACTGCATTTTGTTGTTTATAATTAAGATGCATACAGGGGCGGACCCAGGATCAAAAGTTGGGGGGCGGGCTAAGTTTTCGGGATTCTGGGCGCTGCCCTGAAAAATAAAAATTTAGGTTCTTAAAACATTGCAAAAAGAAGTTTATATAATGTACTAATTGTCCAGTTTGGACGAACGATGAATTCTACATTCTTTCTCTTCGAATCATCTTTACCAAATAATTTCCGACCGTAAAATATTAGTGCCTTGATTTCCGAAACCGTAAATGTTTCTTAATCACGGGACGAATGTTAAACCGTTCATGCATTAAAACAATATCTATCAAAATTCAAAAGTGATTCAAAATGCATAAAAACTGGAATATAAAGACAAACAAATTAAAGCGATTTTTTGTCTAAAATTCTAACAAGGTTGTCGCGCGTGGTGGGTACGTGCGGTAGATCGACTGTCTCGATTTCTTTCAAGTATCTTTCACTAGGCGTAATTATCTCCATTTCAATGCAAAGCGAATAAGATTATATTCCGCTTCTTCATAGTTTGGCAATTCGGACAGACTTGTCGGGTTCCATTCTTTCCGATTCTTGTCATAAATCTCCAAGCCCACTTCCTCCAAATCTCGAAACAACAGCTCCGAAAATTGATCTAATTGGTTTCCGCTTTCCCTCTTCATTAGAATATTCTCCACACACTTGATAACATTAATATGAATTCTGAGGTGGAACGGACCTACGTTTTTTGGACGGCAGATACTAAACGCGCCATTTAAAAGAGACGAAAAAGTGGACGATGAATAAAACCGGAACCCCAACCTCTCCACCACAACGGGTTTTTCACAACCGACAATGTTTTGAATTACGCCCTCGTTGTTCGTGGAATTTTCAAAAATAACCAAAACAATTTTGGATTCGCTCAACGACTCGAGCAATTCTCTTAGCTTTCGGAACCACAAAGACGAAGCGCCACTATTCGAACACAGATGTATCATCGAACACCACTCTCTAGAACTAGTTGTCGCGAACGAGACGGACGGGATAAAGTCTCCTAGGTATCTAAAATGGACTATGTTTGGGGCGTCGATAAATAGCTTGATTTCTTTCAGTTCGTAACAATAGTACATAGTCAACTCTTTCAGGCTCGGGAATTTACACGAGGACAAGTGGTCCAATTTCGATGTCACACGGAATAGATACAATTCATTGAGATTACGGAAATCTGCTCCTCTGTCGAACCGAAGGTTACCGTGCGTAATTTTGACAGTTTCGAGAGACGGCGGATGGATCTCGATGCTACAATCACCCTCCGAGGGTTTCGTAACAAAAGAAAAGTTCTTGAGGTTACGGAGATTCGTAATCTTAACGTTTCGTAACCCTTTGCACGAATCGAGGGACATAGTTTCAATATCCACAAAAGGAAAACTCGAGATCGCCTTGTGAAAAACTCCGTCCTCGGTGTTGACTTTTTTGACATGAAGTTTTTTCAGATGCTTAGAGAATACTATCCTTTCGTATTCCTTTTCGTCGTCGTCCGACGACGTGCGTATTTCCACATGCAAATCCTCGAGCGATCGGGCTTCAAAGACTACGGGAGGCAGATAGTGGATAACACCATCCTCCACACAATTAGAAAGACGAAACTTCTTCATCCCTAAAAATACTAGCGTTCGAATCCATTTTTCGAGAATGTAATAAGATTGGTAATTCAAATAGCCTTTCGATATACAGAGATGGAATTCATCCACGCACAACTTTTGATCGTAGTATCGTTCCAAACTCGCGTCGATAAGGCGTATAAATTCGTCGTCGTTACCTTTGAAGGCGGCGTCCGAGAAACTAAGAACGGGACGAGTGCACCAAATGTAACGCCAGGGTTTCGACAAGACGGATGTTCGGACAGCCTCTTCTTGTGTGAGGAAATACATAATTCTGTGTAGGATGTCTTTCGGCAACTCGGATATCCTGTCCACTGAGTCGGAACTCGTGTGTTCGCCTTTTGCCTTTTTCATGGTAAACGATTCACAAATATTTTTTCCACCTTAATAAAACCCTAGCGAATGGGTTAATGTAATTTGAAGGTTTTGTTGATGGGTTCAAGTTATGATATATTGATATATTCCGATTAATTAGTTTTGATTATTTAAAATTTCCTTTTTTTTAGGATTTCTTATGATTCACATTAGATTCCGTCTTGTATTTATATACTAAGTTATTATATGAAAGTTTTCCTTTATTCAAAAAAAAAAAAAAAAAAAAAAAACGGGTAACTAATTATATTGTTGACCAAATGTTTTCTACAGAAAAATATATAGTATCTATAATGCCCCCCAAGTCAAAGATTTTTTTTTTTTTAAATCATAAATATTTCCAGAACCGACCTGAGGTATGGTCGAATTTCAAAATAACTCCTCAAATATCCATAATTAATAAAAAAAAACCCCATAAGGTTTGTTTCAATCTAACAATTTCTCCTGTTTTTTGGTTGCAAACTTCGATCTCATATATTTTTCTTGGACAAATTTTAAATGATATTCCTGCAAATGTCTAAATGGTTTTTTGATAACATTTATAACATCATTATTTATGTATTTCAAATTATAGGTGAATTAAAATATGTTATTACCGAATTTCGTTGATTCCATCAAAAAATAATTGTGAATTAGTTGGGGAAAATACAGGAAAAACCCTCAAGACGGCGATCCCCGTGGGTAGGTTTCTTCATAAAGGTCCGTATATGAATTGGATTTGAACTCTATTATTTAGAGAGTGTAAATTACAACCACCCCTTGAGATATGGTCAAATTACGAAAAACTCCCTCATGTTTGGATAGTTACAATTACCCCTCAACTATGAATCTTCTTACACGTCCACCCTTATCTAGCCTTCGCCACTGCAGAAGTTTTTGAAGCCTTTCTTCATCTTTGCTCCGAAAGAATTCTTGAGAACAAACAATGACATGTCTTTCATATATAGCTTGTTTCCTTACTTGTTAAAGAATCAATATGGTACAAAATTTAAAAAAATGTACTTTTTGGTGTGGAGAGATGTATATAACTATATATGAAATAAAGTTTCTTATTACACTAAAAAAAAATCTTTTGAGTGACAACACCTATTTTTCACATAGTTAGGCAAAAAGTGTTGTCACTATGCTTGTCACTAACGGGGTGTCGCTAATGCTCTATAGTGACAATAAATAAGGATTAAGTGACAACAAAAAGAGCTATTAGTGACAATAAAAAAGATGTTGTCACTTAATGTGTATATTAAGTGACCATTTTTGCATTTGTCACAATTGGGGTGTCACTAATGCGACTTTTTCTTGTAGTGTCGTTTCAAATTTAACATAATCTTCCAGATTTCATGGAATGTTCTCTAGTTTGTACTCGCGTTGTGCAAAAATACAGTTTCTGATGCACCACAATCTGTTATATACAACCCAAAAAATAGATTTTTCAAAATTAAAATTTGATTGAAATCAATTTCCGTGTATAATATAAGGACCAAAGTGTAATTATCCTTAAATGGGATTTGCACTCTATTATTTAGAGAAGTCAGATCTGCAGTAGTCAATAAATTCATTAAAAATGTGTATTAAAATTTCAACAAAAAACTTAAAAGCCAAAGTCGTTGTTCTAGTAAAATATTTATCTTGACTAAGTCAAAGTCGTTGCAAACCTTTTAAATGGAGGAATAAACACGCTTCCCACGCAAAAACTTCCACCATCTCTTGATTTTTCTTCCCCACGCGCGTGACTATAAATACATCGAACACTTCTTTCATTTTCCACAAAAAAAGTAAACAATAATAATAATAAATAAAATAAATAAAAATGGCTATCGAGAGAAAATCTCTACTAGCTCTCACACTGACAGCAATATTTCTCGCCGCCGCCGCTCCGGCGGCGTTCGGCCAAAACTGCGGCTGCGCGTCGGACTTGTGCTGCAGCCAGTTCGGCTTCTGCGGCATCGGAAACGACTACTGCGGCAGAGGCTGCCAATCCGGGCCGTGCTCCGCCGGACCGGCCAGCAACGGCGGCTCCGTTAGTAATATTGTGACTGACGCTTTCTTTAACGGGATCTCCGATCAGGCTGCCGGGAGCTGCGCCGGGAAGGGGTTCTACACGCGCTCGGCGTTTCTAGAGGCGGTCAACTCGTACACGGAGTTCGGCACGGTGGGTTCCGCTGACGACTCGAAGCGGGAGATTGCGGCCTTCTTTGCACACGTGACGCACGAAACTGGACGTAAGTTTCTCTTAGTAGGCTTCTATATAGCGGTTAAGTTTTCAAACTAACAATTTATTAATCATTAAATTCAAAAGAAAAATATTTTATTTTTAATGAATTGTTCAAGCTATAATTAAGTTCTAGAGCCATCTTTGTCAAATTAACTAATACATACATATACGTGAAGATTGATTTTGGCTTAGTAGTTGTACCCACTAGCTTAGTAGCATATAAGTCATGCAAAATTAAAACCATTTTTTTTGGGTAAACTACACATATACCCCTGAGATATGTTAAATAATAACGTTAAGGTCCCTGTGGTATATTGGTAATTACAGCCGCACCCTTAAAACAATTGTCGGAGCCAAGATTTTATGTTCTGGAGACCGATATGCACTATATTTGTTTTATGCGGAGCCGTTAATGCTACCACAGATAAAAATTTATAAATCATATATAGAATATAATAAGGATTGAAGAAATATTGGGGGAGTCATGTCACCTCCTAGCTTTAAGTAGTCTTCATTACTTCCTGAAACTAAATCTAATAGTCCGTTAATGAATAACTTATACAATGAATTATTCTGTTAGGGTTTCTAACAATATTTCAGGGGGTCATTGTAATTACCGATACCATAGGGACCTTAAAGTTATTTTAACATATCTCAGGGGTGTATATGTAATTTACCCTTTATTTTTATAATTGAATGGGAAATTAATAGCAAACGCACTTAATACACCGTGCCGTGTACGTACAATAGCCCATAATTCATAAATAACATGAAAAATGTAAACAACAGTATGTTAATTAACCACGTGTGACGAACTTGAATTAGAAAATACATTGATAACCGTACGATGTTTATTTGAACCCGAATCAAATAATCTGCGCAATGTTGTCACACCGAGTAGGTCACCGCTTTATAATTCACCTAATTCTAGTTTTTTTTAAGAAAATACTATGGGTTAATTATTCATCCAATTTGTACAATAAACTTAAATTAGTACAAATACATTCTATTAGTACTATTTTCTTAAAAATACAAAGATCACATTTTCCTGAATTAGAATCTTGTAAATATGCTTATAAATATTTCATGCAGACATGTGCTTCATTGAAGAAATCGACGGCGCGTCAAAAGACTACTGCGACGAAACCAACACACAATACCCATGCACGCCAAACAAGGGTTACTACGGACGAGGACCAATCCAACTATCTTGGAACTTCAATTACGGGCCAGCTGGCAGTAGCATAGGCTTCGATGGTTTAAACAACCCGGAAATAGTAGCCACTGATAGAATTATATCTTTCAAAACTGCATTGTGGTATTGGATGAACAATTGCCACGACCGCATTATTTCGGGGCAAGGCTTCGGGTCTACTATTCGGGCCATAAACGGGCCACTTGAATGTGATGGGGCGAACCCTGATACGGTCAGCGCTCGTGTTCAGTATTACACGCAGTATTGTGATCAGCTTGGAGTTGCTCCGGGTAATGATTTGAGGTGTTAGTATAGTGTGATTAAAATTCATGATTGATGAGATTATTTATCTTGGTTCATTTTTTTTTTTTTTTTTTTTTAATTTGTTACACGAAAAATAATTTATGGATTTGTATCCAATAATAAATGATAATGAATAATGTAAACTCGTTGATCATGTATACGGTTGTAGTGAATATTTTTTTTACTCGAAATAATTTATATATTACATTTGCATGGCATTGGCATATATACTTGATTAACAATGCCCTTGAAAATTGGAAAATATTGTTGATACTAATAATAAGACTAAGCGTTGGGCAATGGGCGTTTAATGAAGGAATAAAGTGTTGCATATACATTCGTACTTCAAAATGTGAAAAAGTGGCCTCTGCCGTTAAACTATGTTAGAGAATTCGTCAATTTTTAAAGTTAATCAATCGACTATTGCACTAGATGTTGGACAATTTCAGACAAAAATACCCCTATAACTGTGTATAAAAAGTGTGCCTCTTTCTTTCTCTCTTGTACTCAATTTACTCTCAATATTTTTTTCATGTTTCTTCCCTAATTTTATTTTCCACAACCTAAAAATTTCACCCAAAATTTCTGAAAAAAAAATTTATATTCTAAAAATTATTTATAATTTCCTATAAAATTTATGAAATTTTGTAATTATGTTCCAAGGCTAAACATATCACCCAAAATTGATGAGTTTCTTTTATTTGGGATAATATTTTAAAATTCTTTTTCGATTTCTGAAAAGATTTTTTTTTTTAACTTTCAGCCTAAAAATTCTCAATTTAAAATGTTTCCCGTAATTCTAATTCTCAAAATTCACGCATTTCAATTTTTACGTCCAAACTCTACAAGACATATTTCTCTAGAACCACGTGTCGATGCCACCGGAGTGTTACGTAATAAAGTAAAAAATAATGGCCAAATAAAAAAATGCCTATTTATATCATATAAATGGAAGGGTAAACATAAACTAGCAGTGTTAGGGATTTGACGGTTGCCCGATAAGTTGATGGGTCATTTTGTCGTATTTTGTAGTACATAGGGTATATGCGACACTGATAATAGTAAAATTGTGCAATTTGTTTTAACCCAGGGATTTATTAGAAACAAGTGCGGCTCGCCCTTTTCTTCAAAACGACGCAGCTTGAATACAAAATTAAACCCTAGATTCCCAAATCAAATAGCCCTAATTCATCACAAGATTCATATCTCAAACTCAATGCAAACCATTTATAACGCTTAATCTCCCAATTTCCCAAAGTTACGAATGGGTCTTAATCTCTATCAAGGCACTCAGAGGTACGAATTTCTACTCTCTCTCTCTCTCTCGCGCGCGCGCGCGCGCTCTGCCATTCAAATCAAAGAGAATTAAACATTCAATTATTTGTTGATTTCTTTATGTGTTTTCTTTTTCCCAGTTTCATGAACGTTATACATATGAAAATGTAGTTTTTAATTGCAATGTAGAAATACTAGATACTGCCAGCGTGTTTTGAGTTGTGAATTTTACGAGTCATTACAGAAAATATAATTTTTTTTCCCTTTATTCAATGTTAATTATCTCTGGTTTATAATTTTCTGCTGCAAATGCAAATGAAATGATTAAATGGCTATAGTCTTTAATTTGCAGTGTGCTACTTAGTGCTTACATTTCGTTAATTAATTCATCGTAGGTAAAAATCACTGCCAAAATTTATACTCCATAAATTACTTTTAATTTGCAAGATCTAATTTTTTTTTTATTTTTTCTCAATGCAATAGGGATGTTTAAGCCAATTTATTCCGCATTCGTACTTGATTTCAGATCCCGGAATTTTGCATGAGCAATGTTGTTAACCGCAACAGAATCTGCGTTCGGTGAATTTAGTCAAATCCCATTGATTTCAATGGACTTTAATTGGGAATATTAATCTTCCAAATTTAGCTGAGAAGTTTCTCGCATGAAATTTAGTGGTCCTTTAGTTATTTTATTATTTGGAACGAGTGTGCTTTGATGATTGACTAGTTGATCTTTACAAAACATCAGTGTCAATGAACTTGGCGGGCCCCACCTCATTATACGATATATGGTATATTAATATGGCCACCTCATTATTTTTCAGATATGCGAATTTTCTGGTGCCGATTGAATGATGATAGAAACCGCGCATGCTTTGTTTGAAGTTCGAACGAGCACAAACTTCCCTTCTACATGATGAATCCACTGAGGTACGTACTTACATTCAGTCTTCTATTTATTCACTTCGTTGTTGCTTTAGTTGCTATCGTACGTTCTGCAGTGTTTACATATATCGAATTTTCGATTTAGATACTTAGCGTGCCGTTTGATACTCCCTTGTCTCAAATTTAATTTCGAAAAACCATTTTGGAATACCTGAAAAATTATCAGATGATTGCTATAAAACTTTTTAATTAAGATTGTAAGATTTGAAAACAACCAATGATGTAATCCTGTGTAATTCGCAGAAATCAAACCTTCATAATGAATTCATAACAATAAATATTCGTTTAGACATTTTTTTTCTTTCTAATCGTAAATGTAAAGCTACTCCTATTTTGGCACAAATATATAACCATTAGTAATAGTACCTTTTGCATGTTTTTCTTTTCTTTATCTATTCGCACGTAGAATCTGCATGATCGAAAATTTGTTTCTTTATTTGTCAGAATCATAAACAATTTCACTCTTTTTTTTTTCATAGGTTGTAACTGAGTTGGATCTTCAAGTAAAGTTTCTTTATGTGCTTGGTTAGATATTTTTTAGATCTAAATAAATCTCAATTAAATATTTATTTATGGATCATTGAACTTGTCAAATGAGACGAATACTGTTTTTATTATGAAAATTCTGATCCTAGGTGGAGTCGTACGCCTACACCATAGTCTGATTCTCCTCCCATGGCAAAATGCTGTTTGTCTCGAAGAATAAGGCAGATACATAGAAGTATGAGTTATAATATACGATGGTACGTATCTGAATTTATCTTGTACATTTTCATAAGATTGTCTTCATAAAAGTTTAACTTTTTTATGCATGCAATATTTTAGACTAAAAGAATGCGTTTATTCATCGTCACTTTGTAGATGCCAAATAGAAAATCGTCTCTTTATTTTTGTGGAAATTAGTACAATTCTTGTTGTACCTCGTTTTATTATTTATAACTATTAGCTGCCATAAGTAAAAATAACTAGTGCTGCAATGAATGTTAACAAACTGATTTTCGTTATGATCTATATATATTCGTACACTAAACAAATCATTAGATGCATACCCTAAAGAATTCTTACTATATAATTATCATATATATAATAATGATTTTTTTTTAATTGATTAATTGCTTCCTATTGTAGAATGCATCGGTCACCAATAAATGCTGATTGTTGGATTTTAGCTATAAGATTTTTGATACACGATGCCCAAATTTATGAATTTTCCGGATTTAAAAGCAATCAGATTTCAAATCTGATGTATGTTTCCAATGAAGCAAAAGAAGGTCAAGGTCAAAAAGGAAAATAAAAATGGTAATGAAGGAAAAATAATATGTAAAAAGAAGTTTATTAGAGATTAAATAAATGGAGTTTTATTCGACTTATAAGAGAAGTACTTGTAAGGATGCTGCATGGGGTCTTGAAATAGAAGATGCCAAATATGTACATAAACACGCGCGTAATTGTTTAGTATATAGGGTTGAGGGTTTTGGATTCGTAAATATATATGTATGTACATGTACAACTATATACGTACGATATGTATATGCGTATACATGCCTGATTTAGCCATCCAAAACTCTGTTTCACATTATTCTTGAAGAATTTTGTCAAAATTAAAATGAAGCTTCAATTAGAGTTCGTCTGCTTTTCATCATGTAAAACATTTAATTTTATATTATTTGCCAACTTTTATGTATTTGTTATTTTGTTTATAATTCAAGTAATGTTTTAAATGCTGTAGCTAGTCATGGAAATAATTAAAAAACACACGAAATTATTTACGAAATCCATCTTTTCGGATTTCGTAATAACTATCTCTTGACTTTCCTCCCATTTCAGTCTAGATTTTGCAAAACCATTCATCGATTCTATTCTCGTATTTGCTAAATCTATAATTAATTTCTTAATATGTTGTCAACCAAGACAAGAACTTTATCTATTTAACCTCGTTTTCATTTCGATTATTTCTCACCCTCTCAACATCTTCAAGCCCTTGCATCTACAATTTTCTTTTTTCATTTTGTCCGGAATATTTTCTATAAAATTTAAAATGTCACATGTACGTGGGAGTAAAAGAAATCCATCAGCAGAGGAGCGTCCCGTAATTTTGGCACTTGAATATAGAAAATTCGATGCATCGAGCTCCGTTCGTCGACCTTCTATACCTCGACCGAGGATTCCTAAACACCCCTTTACTTCGTTCGCTGCTCAGTTGTCGCCTTTCATTGTTACTATAAAGACTGGAGAGGTTGCTTCCTTTATTAATTTTCTGACTCCTTTTCGTTTATTTTGTGTGTGTTTTTTTTACAACAAAAAATCTCTGCTAAAGTTGGTTGATTGCTCGAAAATGAATGTGACCAAGACATAATTCATGTTTATCACCGTTTTCTACTAAAGTATAAAAATGATTGGCTTTTATTAAAATTATAGAATTCTATTTTATTCAACTATTTGCATGTTTATCTGTGTCTTGTTATCTCCCCATTCGTGTGCTTATTGGTTTCATTTGTCCACATATTCTGATTTTTTATTTTTGATTTTTTATTTTTGATTTTTGATTTTTGTTTTTTTGATTTTTGATTTTTGATTTTTGATTTTTGATTTTTGAATTTTTGTATACAAGGTAGGGTACTTTTGCTTCTCTGTGTGGATTTAATTATCTGTATTATTGTGAGACCTTATGATTTTATTAGCTTTTATAGTAAGTGAATAAATAGGAGTCCTTTTGGATACGGCTGCATTTATTTGACTCTACCATATTTTGTGTGAATAGATCTATCTTATCATAATTAAATCGACTAGGCGTCACAAATTAGGGCACAAAACCAATAAAAGGTAACACTCGTATACAACTATGTGACAGACCGGAAGTTGGAATTTTGTCAAAACCAATAAAAGAAATTGATTTTGTCAAATTATATGTTAATGTGGTGTTACTTTTATCCGTTTTTGCACAACATCGTGATAGATTAATTTCAACCTTAAATTTCAGCGTCTTAACTTCACAGAAGATTTATAATATAGTAAGTTATAATTGAACTCCGAGAGAAGAAAAATTGTGATAAAAGAAATAAAAATAAGACTAATTACGTGGATGGAAGTACGGGAAAAAGAAGAAATCGAACACCACTATGATCGTTCAGTTGACGTATAAGTAGTTAACTTGTTACAGTAATCTGATGTTCGATTTGCTTTTACAACTCTTCTTTTTGTGTATAAATTTCTTTTATTTCTTTTCTGCTTTTAGGACATTGGAAAAAGGATACGAGATTTCTTTCAAGAGCGTATCCACCCAAGGTGTGGCGCTTTGTCGGTCGAGGGATGTATATACACTGTATCAGGTGACATATCGAACCCGAGAATCGATATAAAAGGCGTAGCAACGTATTTTGAGGTAAACATACTTACTTGGGATTGAGTCGAGTGTTTATTTTATTACTTGTTTGACGGAATAGTATAGCAGAATTTTACTCGAATCGAACTAATAATATGATTAAATTTTGTCATTTAGTGGTAATTTATGCAGATTTAGTAACTCCTCCGTGCAAATAATATTAGTGTGTTTTATCATATCTAAACGAATAATTAAATTATATAGTTTTTTTTGTTATACATTAACTTACGAAACCAATTTATTGTTATACTTGCAGGGTAATTTTTCCATAGCAACCCTCACAGGCCGTTTCGTAATATCAAATAACGGACGTGTACAGCTGGACTATTTGAAAGTCGGCTTTCAACCAGACGATGTGCTCGTCTGCGGTACTACGATTGGGCCTCTGATAGCCGGCTGTGCTGTTCAGGTTAGCTTCTCTCGTACAACACGATGTTCTTAATTAAGATAAAATCAAACGATTCGTCCTCCATTAGAATAACGAATTATCACTATATTCGTGTACAACATTTTATTTTATTTTTTCATTTCTTTTTATCCAAATAATCCAATTAATCGTCATTTAGTGGGGGTTATTGTGCAGAGTTAGCAACAACTCTGTGCAATTAATATTTGTGCATTTTATGTGAGACCAAATAATCGTAGAATAGTTGTTATTTATGTTCGAACCGTATTTTTATTCCATTTTTCTTGCTGTTTTCGCTATATTTGATCACTAATTATGTTACAGTATATTTTCTATTAATTGAGAAAATAGAAAAAAGAAAAAGAAAAAGAAGGATGCATTATCCAACATTTGAATGTCATTCCAAAAGATTTTTTTTTTCATTTTTCTTTGAAATATATTTAATTCAATTGCAGGTATAACTCGCATTGATTTTTTTTTTTTTTGCGCAGCCGTAACCCAACTAATGTACATTTAAATGCAGGTCACTCTGGGTTATGCCAGGTTGGATAAAGGAGAAACGAGCACCGCTCCTCTTCAGTCACCACAGTGCACCTCTGAGGGCTTTGCCGTAAATGAAAATGCCCTTGTAATAATTTGAAATGTTACCGAGGGTTTTAGATTGGTTGGCTATCTACATTAGTAGATTGTGATAGCATTACATGATTTCGATTTCGGGACTCGAATTTGAGTATTAGTTTTTCCATAATATCGAAACCTTTTTTTTTTCCGTTTCACATAAGCTGCATAAGTGTAAATTTTTGCCAGCATTAGTGCATGTTTCTTCGAACCTTATTATGTAATGTGATCTTTGCATTAGAAAGACTAATGAATCAAATAGTGAAAATGGCTATATACTCTTTTGGATGATTATCGGTCATATATAAGGTTTTATTCGACATATTTTATGTCGACATTTATCAGTTTTATCGAAATTACTGGATTGTGAGTGCATTACATGAACACTAGAACACATAGACTTCTACTGTAAACACTAAATACCATCTCTTCTAATGAGGGTTGATAGACAACAATAATTTATATAAGGGAAAATTATGCTCTTCGTCCCTTAGGTTTACATAGATTTCATATTTGGTCCTGTTAGTCCACAAAAAAAACATATTTAGTCTCTTCTGTTTCATTAATTCAACACATATGGTTATTTTCCATTATTTACCATTAATCCGTCAATTAAATTGGAAGCGAAAAAAATGTACCCATTTAATGCAAAACTATGGCATTGAACTCAATATATTGGAGATATTAATATTAAATGATACATTTCACTAATAGCTTAAGCTTTTGGTTGAGATGGTCATTCAACATGGTATCAGAGTTAGGCCAAATGAAAGGTCCTGAGTTTGAATCCCACAGCCACCCATTTAAAAATATTTCAAGTGCAAGGCTTCAAATGTAATTCGCCTGCACTTGAGGGGGCGTATTGGAGATATTATGTACGCCATCCCAAAGTAGTTTCGGAAGCTGAAAACCATTGATTAAGAGCTGCAAAAATGAAAAAAAAAAAAGTTTAATTTTCGGCATTTTTCGCTACCAACTTTGAAACTTCAAACATCGTAAATAATCGGAGTTTATAACTTACTTTTTTTCATGTGTTTATCATTGTTCGTGTCTTTATCATTGTTCCCTCTCCATTTCCTTTCGGGCAAAGAATAATCTTCCTACATTTAGCGAAATAAAGTAGTGTGTAACAAACAATATAATTTGAAAGGATACCATAAAAATAGTTGCAAGTTAATAAGGGTTTATTGCAATTAGTACCCTGTATTATGTTGAATTACCAAAAGAACTGCCTCATGTTATTCTTTTGTCAAGAACCCCCCTATGATTCAACTTTTTTTAAGCACACAAACCCTAAACATAAGTACCAATTGCTAATAAAAATCAGAGGGGAGTTTTTGTCGATAAAATAACATGAGGTGATTTTGTAGTAATTTCGTTATAACGCAGGGGACACTAATTGCAATAAACTCTAATTAATAACACTAAAAATCGTTACCATTTCTGGCCTCCAGCAATTGCAGAATTCCATGTTTCTTCCAATTTGGAGAAATCTGAAATCTTCAAATCATGCTTGTAACGAATATCGACATTCTCCAAAGATAAACATTCAACGGCCACTTGTCTTTCGATGACAAAAACCTCAGCACCAAACACACACGTATCATTAACTAGATATCCGTTTGATGGATCAGACAGAATTTCCTTCGAAATAAATTTGAAAGGCTCCATTCAAATTTCATTGCTCGGAAACGTCTTGTTATTCCTAACAAATAGTATTTTATATATATGTATAAAATACACCTTGGCAATTTAATAAACTAATCTATAGGACAAAAATTACTAATTTACCAGGAAAAAAAAAAGAAAAAACAAAAGGAAAGATAAAGATAAGGGAAAATTACAATTTTTATCGCTCATAAAAGTCACATTTGGTCATTTCCGTCAATGAACCGTTAGTTCGTCGGTTAAGGTAATAATGGGCACACACTCAATTCCGTTAGTACTAAATGAAAGTTGACGAAAATTACTAAAGGTGTTGAATTTTTGAAACATGAGGGACTAAATCTATTTTATTATGAGCAAAGATGACCAAATATGAAATCGAGTTAAACTAAAGTGACGAAAAGTATTTTTCCCTAAAGATAATATATACAGTAGAACATCGCTAAATTAATAGTCATAAATTAACAACCTCTTTTAAATAATTGATTCTTTTGGTCCCGGCTCGGTAAAAACCTACTGAATTATTAGTTCGATAATTTAATATTTTGATAAACTAATAGAATTCTGCTAGTCCCGACTATATTAATTTATAGAAGTTTAACTGTAACTAGTGAATAAAGATAGTGACCTGAAATCTTATTAAAGAGAAAGATGTTGAAAACAACATTGACTCCCCAGTTTGTAGGCAGAGAGCTTGTATCCGCCATATATAGCCAAGTTTACAGATATATAATCACTATCTTTTCCATTAAAATTTAATAAACTTCATGTACAAATTCAAACATCCTCCATTACTTCTTCCTTTATTTGGTTTAAGAGAGAGAGAGAGAGAGCGCGCGAGAGAGTACCACTTGTATTCTCCAGCCAAAAATTCGTTTGTTTCGTATTTCATAATTCCATACTTGTCGACAAGGAGAAGGATTCGATCTTGATCAGAAAATGCATGTCATTCCCTATAATTTTTTTATTTTCGCACTTTACTCCTTCAAAATTTAAGAAAGTAGATCAAACAAATTGCATGTTACACTTGATGCACATTGCCCCAATAGCAAAATTCCAATGGATTATTAATCGGAACTGAGTGTTTTTTCTTTTTCATGCTGACCCTTAAAAATATTATTTTTTCACACATTGCCCCTTTAAAATGTTACTTTTGTTGCACCATATATGCCCACCGGAAATTAACTTTGGGATAAAGTGCAACCAAAACAATATTTCGAGGGGGTTATCTCTTTTCTCAAATTTTATGGGGGAAAGTGACAAAATTAAAAATTTATAGGGGTGAGGGGGTGAAGTGTATTTTGTCCATATATATATATATATATATATATATATATATATATATATATATATATATATATATATATATATATATATATATATATATATATATATATATATATATATATATATATATATATATATATATATATATAAGAGAGACACACACAAAGACAAAAATACACTGATCGGTAAAAATATATATTGTACCATGTAATTTAAGAATTACTTTTATGCATTATTAATTTATCTAGTATACGGGGCTTCTTAATATTTTCGAATGTGTATTATCTTATAAATTTAGCGAATTGTTAATTTAGCATATTTTCCCCGAGTCGGGACTGGAAAAATTTATTATTTTAGCGAGGTTATTAATTTATTAAGTACTAATTTATCGAGGTTCTTCTGTATATCAAATTTTTGGTTAATGTGAAAAACAGGAGTATCTTAATGTGGAATTCCTCATGTTTATTTCAGATTTATATATTTGTTGATCAGCCATGTCAATCGATTCCCATCTTCGTAGAATTTGGGGTAAGGTTTTGGGAATTAGAAGATGGAAAACTGGGGGTTTTGTAGAAGAGGAATTAATGATTTGTTATATGGAGATAAGAGAGAGATAGAGGAGAGATAATGAGGTGTCGTCCAACTCATCTTCCAGCTCGATTTTGACTGCCAAATGGAAGTCACGTGACAATTCTGTCCAACTTAATTGGGAAAGTTAACGGCCGGACCATAAGTGTCCAAAAATGATAAGTTTGAGGACTAAATTCGTAGCGGCAAAACTTTGAGGACCAGAATCGTTTTAGGTAGCATGTTGTGAATATTTTCTAGGAGGAGTCCAAATTTTGCATGATATTTGAAGCAGGGGCAAGAATTTTTGAGCGATTTAGGGATGAAAGCATTGAAACATAAATTCACAGTCTCATTACGTGAAGAATACAATATGCAAGTTTTGACTTCATAATAGCCTCTTTTTGGGAGCTTATTAAATGAGTTATCAAATCTCTTAACTACTATTTGACTCCTAAAATTTAGAAATTATGTTCTCCAATGGTGTTATCAAAATGGGTTAGTATTTTGATATTTCATCTCTTTGTATCTAAAAATACTTCCTGCAGAATGAGTTACCAAAAAATTAACCACCTAATCAACCATTCACAAATTAACATGTGGCAATTACAAAGAAAATCACCAAAAAACTTCCAATTGATAATAAAATTTGATAACTATAGTTGGAGTTGGTGAATTTAAATATATTTTAAAATATTATCTCAAATATCAAATGAGCATTTGATAATTCAATTTTGATGTTTAGCATTGGAGTTGCTCTTATAAATCAAAATCATCTGGTGAATTTATAATATTATACATTTTTTTTTGTAGTAATTGTAAATTTAGATATTTATTAAAAACATTATAACTTTATTTTACTTCGATAAACGTACAATTGCAACTAAAAAAAAATCATAAAACATTTAACTAGACACGTGCAACGCAACGCAAGTGCATCTTCCTAGTATGCATAAAATAGAGAAATAAGATCGCGTACTGTTGGCAGAGATGCTAGGATTTATGCTTGTTCTGCAGTACAATTGTTTATATATTTTCCAATTTCGCAAATATGAATTTGATTAGGGATATAACTGACCGATCTTGCTATTGTCTAAGGACTATTTGGTAATTTCAATTTGTAACTGGATCGTAAATTTTCTTGGATTCTCCAATCTTACCTCCTTATGCGGGATCCACAATCTATTAAACACCGGATCTGAACCCAGGCTGGGGATCCATCTCGGATCCAGATATTATGTATCAATCTTCTCAATTCCAAGAAACCAAAATAACACTTAAAGGATTCTAGAAGATCTTGTAGAATCCTCCTTGTATATATTTGGTAGGAAATCATAGGAGATACTCTTAGCCATTAGATCAAGATGACCACCAACGATTCTTAAGAAGGTAGAGTTATATAAATAGGGGTAACACTATTCATTTTAATCACCCAAGAATCCAAACAATAAAGTATTCTATAGCAATCTCCAACACTTGTTCTTTCTTAAGAACTTGCATACACCTCTGTGCACTTTTGAGTGAGGTTGTCTTAGCTTTTTTGCAAGGGGCGAAGTTCGAATAGGCGCGATGGGCATTGATTAGTGATTAAGTGCCGTACACTACTTTGATCGAGATTCAAGTCCGTGACACCAGACAGTACTATACTAAACAAATAATTAGCCCAAAACACAATGACATAATTATCATCCCTAGTATGAACAAAATATTCAAAATAAAAAATAAAATCGAACTAGATTATGGTGTGCGAGCCCACCATGATTATGGTGTGCGAGCCCAACATCTGGTGGCACACGATCCTTTAGCGGTGGTCATACAGTGTGACAAACGCTTG